ACGTTAAATAAAAAAGTATTTCTTTGTAAGCCGAAAGGCAATTAGTAAAAGTTTGGTAATTTTTAGTTTTATTATTGTTATTTAAGGATATCTTCCAAAAACATTTCCAGAAGCCAACAACCGCATCTTTGCCGTGGTGCTGCGTTTTTTATGCTGAACAAACCACACATGCTTGACTTCTCAAGCCAATCTTTAAGTCTTCCAACTAATTTACATTTGCCCTACCATGAAACCACAACACTAAGTTTTCGGAGGAATAAAAATAAAAAGAATAAATCGTCTTACCAAGCAGCTGAAGTAACTTCATAAATACTTTTATGCCTTAGAGTCAATATCTCAAAATAATTGCAGTGTTAAAAATTATTACTTAAGAAGCAATTTTTAATTTTTATTTGAGACGAAATAATTTATTTGTACATTATCAATAAGAAATTGAATTATTTAAATTTCTTTTATTAATAATTTTTAATTTTTTATATCATTTTTATATTATTTATTTATTTTCAAAAGCATTTTTCCAAATTGATTATTTTTATAAACAAGTGGTAGATAATAGCACTAAAAAAATTATTAAGAAAATATAAATAATAAGTTATTAAAAATAAATTGATCTTACTAGGTACTACTCCATCTGGAAATTCAAACTTATCTCAGACAAGATGTCAGCAATTGCTCTGACGGGTAGGCGGAACGACCGTTCAAGACAATTCAGAACGCCACCATCCGACACATCCAACTCAAGAATGCTTTGTGCAGGCCTAACCTACTAAACGTTAGACCATGCTAACTACTACAAACAGTTCATTCGCCCCCTATTCACCTATGCGTTCCCGATTTGGTCCAGTCTCCCCAATCCCTTGCTCCCGCACTGAATTCCGTTGTACAATCGCGGATATCGTAACCCGTTTCATAGAAGTATCGCAGTCTTTAGTTAATGCTCATCGTTTCCCATAATTATCATTCATTCTCACCCCTAGCTTAGATAAATTTGTAAACACAAATACTTAGCTTTTTATATCTTTTTCCCTGATTACTGGAATGAGATCTCAACCAGATTTCTTTCAAGTCTAATGGCTGAAGTCTTCTCAACTCATTCGTAAAAGGTGTTTTTAATGGGTTCAAACCTTACACTGTAGCTTTTCATGTTTTCTACCTACTGTAAAAAAAAATTATAGGTTAGGTTTGAATTAACAATAAAATTGTATATAACATATAGAAAATGCTCCTCTACCATACTAAAGGATCTTTTGTACTGCAATAAAATGTCACTAAACAGAAAACAATCAGCTTTTTAAATTAATATCATCGAATTTCCTAATTTCAGACAGGAAGACTAGTTACCGGGTCATTATTCTATTCAAAGCCAGATAATCACAAAGAATGTGACTTAACTTTCATCGTCTTTCTAATAGAGATGGCTTTCTAACACAACTGGAGGACCAAAATCGACAAAAGAATTCGCAAAGCATGTGTGACCCTCTACGCATGTAAAAAGTTGTATGACAAGGACTGGGGGCTGCAGCTTAAAGCAATCTTTACGTAGGATTAGTAAATTCTAACATCTCTCCGATTCTATCTTAATATTTTATGCCGAAATTTTTGCCATTCTGAGAGCATGTTCTCTTACTACGAACATTGAGTTTCACGAAGAGAGAGTCTATATTCTTACTAACAGTCAGGTAGCGATTAAAGCTGTATCTGCAGTATGCATTTCGTCTAGATCAACGCAAAAATGTTGACAATGCATTAACGTACTAAACGGCAGATTCAAGGTAACTCTTGTTTGTGATCGCGGGCATTCCAACATAGTAGGAAACGAAAGCGCAGATGAGATTGCTAGACTGAGCGCCACTTCTATGGAAACTCTTATCACAATCCCTGTCCCTGCAAACTATAGTTCAAGTTTGATTTATGTCAATTTTTTTACGTCAGACAAAACCTCTGCAACCAAGTCAATGGCTACGTGTGCAAATAAAAGGTACTGCAAAAAGGTACTGGATCATAAGACATCATGGGGCTAAGCTCATTCTATCCTGTAGTGTCGCCTGTACCACCTGAATACCAGCGCTTGAAAAAAAGAAATCAAAACAACAGGCTTGTCCAGAACTAAGCTTAAACTGTTGAGTGTTTCTTCACTCACTCAGCAGTTGGAAATATTGCTGAGTGAGTGATTGGTCAGCCACCCGCATTTATTAATGCTTCTAGCTGGTTTTAACTTCTACATTATTCTACCCATCATTACGAGGAATTGTGGGATCTAATAGGCTACCTTAGCTAATTAAGGAGGATTAGTTCCTCACTCCACTTCAACTAACTAACGAAAACACACATGAGAATTTCTCATCATATATATATATAAATGGTATAGATATAGTAGCGCACATTATAATCGAGTTAAATAAATCTAAAACAGAATTTATAGTTATTTTATTATATTAAAAACTTCCGTTTGGTAGCAATTGCTACCATATTGCTTCTATTTGATTATTCTTTATACGATATTATTAACATAAGTATTTCAGAATTAAAATGACAGGAAAATTCTAACAGACAGTCCCAAAATATTTTATACTGATAATACTGCTAGAGACTTCTATCACTGAGTGCGCAAATCCTCCATCTTCCAATACCGCTAATAGAGGTTTGGAAACTTTACGTTCACTGCCAGAAAAGTGAAGTAAGTACTACTTCAAGTTTCTCTCTTCTCGTATTATATACTTCTTTAATCACTATTTGACTTAATAAACTCCATTCACTTGAGGCACTGTTAGTAATACATCCTCCTCCTCTCCTTAAAGAATACTATAACAATTTGCCGATCACCACTTTCTTTTAGATCTAAATCAATTAAATTAACTATATTTCCAGATCTATATAAATAACAAATTTATTAAATAATACAACAAAGTTTTTAGAAAAATATATATGTAAAATTTATTGCAAAATTGGAATGGGTATTTATACAACAAAAATAAAAATTTGTTGCTTATAAAAAAACATATAAAAAAATGTGCCATACATATATAATTACAATACTATAAATTTGTGCAAAGAAATAATTGTAAAAGACGCAATTAATAATTAATTTTAAATTAAATTTGAAATTATAATACACATATTTAGTTAATAAACTTAATTAAAATTTATAATCTTAGCATATTAAGCAAATCTTAAATGAAGTTCGAACTCAACGACGTGCATTATGCATTGCAAAACTTTTATGGCTGGTCGTTTAACATCGGTTAAATCTATGTTTACTTAACTATTGTTCTTAAATACTGTTTAATAATTTTCAATTATCTTATTGCGACTATTCATAATATTTTCACACTGATTAATTAACTGATGATTAACAAACATTATAACAGTTATACCAGTTACTTTTTCTTAATAGTTAGTAATATTGTTAAAATTAGATTTTGAACTTTGAATTGAGATTTTTATTTCGCTTATTAGTATTTGCTACTTTCAATGAGTAATGCATTTATTTTTATTGATTTACTATGAATTTTATATTATACCATATGCGAGTTGATATTTATTCTGAATTTATTGATTCACATTGTTGTTGTTTATTTCGATTTGGTAACCGAATTACAACACTCAAAGTGATCTGAATCACATTAAATATAAATATCCGCAGATCTGACAGTAGTGATAGAAGGTGTCTTTAACAAAGACAGAGTATTGATCTAATGTGTACCGATCCTGTTGAAATGATATATATAAATTGCTAAGCTCTCGTTAAGGAAATCTCCATGTAACACAATAAAGTTTCAACATACTTTTAAGATCCTTAGCATTTGAAATTGGTATGACTAAACAAATATTAGTATATTAATTTATTATGGCATCAAAGCGTGCAAATTTAGTTGACCGAATGCAATATACGGTTAGCTCGATTAAAGTTGAACGACAATAAAAACACCAGACACTAATTTGTCATTTGTTGATGTTAACATTTAAGATTTCACTTAATACATTTAAATTTTATAGAAATCAAATATATCTAAGTTTTTAATTTGTTTTTAACTGATTACATGTTAAACAATAACAATTAATATTCTTATCTTAATTAGTAATTGCTTTAGGTTAGTTAGTACATATATCTAATGCGTACACTGTTTTTACATATATGAATCACATATCATATCATATAATCATATATAATTGTTTATATTATATTGCGACAACAGCATAAGAATTGGTTACACTACAGTCAGGATTATCGCAAATGTTTTGTGATTTGGAAACTGTGTATTACGAGTAAAAAGCGTTTTCAAAAAATACATATGTCTTTTTTCCTTAATTTTTTAGTATAGTTACTTGAGCAAGAGTTAGTTCAGGCATAAAAATTGAGTATATATATATATAAATCTTAAGCTTAATATATATTTTCTATATAAAGGGGGGATTTAATACAAACTTATGCGTTACATTTAAAAAAAAAACTGAAGTGTTAGTACTACAATTATTATTCAAGCTGTTGAAAGCTTAAAGCATTTCAATGTGCAAGTTCGAATACAATGTGTTTTTCGTTCGAATACAACGAGCTGCTCGAAAATGTTCGAATATCACATTATGTGTCCGAGCATTTTCTATTATATTTATTTCTTTAAAACAAAACAAAAATAAAATGAATCTAAAGCAATTCTGCTATTTAGGCAGCTCTTACATTTTTAAATATTTCGAAAATTTCTGAACATTTAGAGTTTTTGATTCAAATATTCGTATTCGAGTATGCTTGAATTATCGAATATCATAATGCTTGAAATCTTTGAAGCACTAACCAGTATTAATAACTTTTTTATAAAGGCATAATAATATTTAAAAAAACAATCCTTACTGAATTAATAACTAATTAATCTATGTATTTAGTTTAATTATAAATACTGTTAATGAACTAATATATAAATTATTACTCAATATTTTACAATATTTTCAAACTTAATAGATTATAAAATATCATAAAACTATTTACAATAATGCAATGTTTGCATCGACATGGGCTAAACTATTCGATGGCACTATAAAGTGTTATAAAAATACATATTTAATAAGATTTTAATATTTGTATATATAAATATGTGTATATAAGTAGTGTGTATATAACATGTATTAGTCTAATTGCTTTACGATTTTATTACATTGCTATAATTATTATTGTTTTATATTTTTATAATTTATATGTATATTAGTTGCTTATTATTTTTGTTTTTTATTGTGTCGAAATGTATAAGTAGTTTAAAGTGAGGTACAATAGTAGTTTTAAGAAATATATATACGTCACTTTCCGTATTACCCTGTACATGATTTATATGTATCTATTTAAATATTAATCAGTTTGTTAAAAATTCCTAAAATGTTTTTGTTTTTAATATTGCATTAATTTAGGCACTTTTTAACTTAAATCGAAATTTCTTAAATTCTCAGCAGTTTCAGCACTGCTGTCGCTTCGCTTCGCATCGTATCGAACTTATATTTCGTTTGAAAACTGAATCAATACCTAGAATAGATTTGCGATCGATTGGCTGCTGCTCGTTTTCGTCGCTCAGTCTGTGTTTGTTGATCGGCATTTGTAGACGTATTCGTAACTGGTGCAATTGAAAAGGGCTTTGAGTCAGCAATTTTATTAGTGGATTCCATTTTTTTCTTTTGATCGGACATTTTTGCATTTAGGCGATGAACTTTTTCGGGACTTAATATAGTTAAGCGATTCGAGTTGACTTTAGGGGTTGTAGAGCCAATACTAGTATTTGCGAGAACTTGTCGACTAGTGGTTCGTGTATATATTGGTGCTATTAATTTAAAAAAAAAAAAGATAAATAGAAATACAAAAAATTTGATTTCAATTGAACTGACCTGTGAGGTTATCCTGTTTAGCTGTAAATCTATTTATATCTGTACTTTTAGTCGGGCTCAATGTGCGTCGTGTATTTGTCTTATTATCAACAACATCTTTTGTAGGTGAAGTACAGGAGGGCTTTACATTTTTTCTAAATCCTAAGAGGCGATTACTAACTTTACTTCTATCTTGCGTCCTATCACTTGCAATATCCTTAGCATACGTTAATTTGTTTTTCTTCGCTTGTATTTCGGTAGACTTTATCTCAGGTTCATCAAGCTCTTTCAAATAACTTTTAAATGTTCTTTCGGCTGGCTGTTTAACACGCTTCACAGTTGTTTTCTCTTTCACAACTTCATCATTTGACTTAATGGTCATGGCAGCTAAATTTTCTAGAGATTCTGAATGTGGTGTATAGAGCTCCACAGCTTTTGGAAATTGCTTTCTACCAAAAATCGGTGTTTGATTAACACGTAGCGTTTGCATTGACGAACTTTTGCCCGCATTGACCTCCGCTGCTTCCATGCGTTGAAACATTTTTAAAGCTTGAGGTGGTGTTCTATACACAGCATCTGTAGGACTTACCTTAAAGTATGTTTTCATAGAAGTTTGAGAATTCGTATAGTTTTTACGATTAGCTTCATCAATGGTTTCGAATTTGTTTTTACATAGATTTAATTTTGTTCTAATATCATCCAATGCATTTTTATATGATTTCTGCGCAATATTTTTTTGTACTTCATTCATAGCGTTTATAGATTTTGCATCTTCTTCGACGGAATTTATAAAAGTCTGACGGTTCTTTAAACTTTTATTAGCTGGAGATTCAACAATTGTATCATCTTCCTCTAATACAGTTTTAACAACTGTTGCCAACGGCTCTATCGGTTTAACATGCTCCACAGCGTTGACTTCATGGTAATTGAGACTTGTATCGCAACTTGAGTCGAAGTCAGAACAATTATTTAAGTCTTTAACATTACTAAGCCTCAGATCACCATCGCGGTGAATATCTAAGAGAAAACCCTTATCACCATAAGGCCGGTTCTTTTTACTAACGCCATTCTGTAAGCTATGTTTTACTGCTTCTAATACACGTTCGGTACAATTATTTTCAGGTGTCAAACCACGCTTTTGATTTTCAATTAAACGCTGTCTTCTTCTTGCACGCATGCTATCACGTATTCGTTCCCCAGTGGGTGAGAAATCTTTACCTAAGTGTGGCGATTTAGGTATAGCTAATGGCAAATTTTGAGTATTTTCCTTTTCTTCTAATTTAATTGTTTCAACTATCTTGATTTCATTTTCATTGGACGGAATGTTTAGGGGTTTTGGTATATTTTTACCAAGTTCATCTAAATCGTCTCGACTTAGATTTGATTTTGGCGTTAGAAATCCTTCTGGTGTAGAACTTATACTAATACCTGGAAAGTTCTCAATATCATAAAGTAATTCGAGTGGCAAAGACTGATTTAAAGTTGCATGTGTCAATAAACTCTCCAACCATATATCTAATACTTCAAATGACGGCCTGTGAAAAGAGATTATTATTATTAAAAATACTGCATATAGTGGTCAAGAAAATTGTTATACACACCTTTTATCTGGATTTAAATCACAACATAAGAATGCAATTTTATAAAAGGACTCGGGACACTGAAAACAAAACTTATCCCGAAAAACGTTTTGATTTAAACCAAAGTCCGACGTGCGCGGTAAAAAGTCAGGATCAGCCTGAACACGTCCAATTATCTAGAAATTTAAGTATAATTAATAATTATTAATGTTGTTAACACTGTATTTAACTTTTATTATTAGACAAAACATTGTTGTTGTTACCATAACAATTGGAGATCTATGGTATATAGTAGATAACAGGAAAGGAATTACAAATACATATACATGATTCAGAATATGGTTAAGTAAAGAAAGTGTGAAACGAAAAAGGGATCGTTTGGATCGACAGAACAAGAAAGGATTTGGAAAAGACAGATTTTTAATTAAAGCAGAGTCAATGAGGGGTAGAACTGCAGTTAGGGCATATATTGGGTATAGATGCAGGAGAAGTTACTGTTTAACATAGTAATAACGTGGCTATATCATGATTTTCATGGGGCTAGAACAGTTCCCGGAGCGGGTTTTCTTCGCGGAATCATTCGTCAATTGCAACATACAAGTGTCGCTCACCATTCCCTAAAGGGCGTAATATCAGCAGACAAAACATTGATACGCAGTGCCATATAAGATTAATTATGCTAACCATTCTCTTAGGATTAGAAGAGATTCTGTTAAACTAACCTTAATAAATTATAGTTATTGATTAACCAAACAATATATTTTAGTTTAATATCCTAGGCCTTATTCGGTTTAATGATAGTTGTGTGGAGTTAGTTAGTGGACCCGCTCTATTTTTGTAATTAAGCAAATAAAATTACAGAATGTACTATTAGAATTTGACATAATAAAATAAGTACATACTCATTACTATTAGTGCCTATTTATACACATAAACCGCAATAAATGTCTCATTTTGATAATAATTTCATACGTCACAATAAAGTACCATGACGAAATCTGTATAAACCAAAGAAATAGGCTATATAAATCAGTACCTTACAACTCATTGAACTCATTTTTTTACAAATGTAATTATAGTCAGTAATATATTATACATAATTCCAAACAATGCTCTCCCCTTTTCACACTTCATTTACCTAAACCTAACCTAAGCCATGTAAACGTAGTTCTTTTCATATTATCTATCGCATAGATACTCACGGGTTACAACAACAACTTATATTTAAAAGATTTCATTAGTCTTTGTAAATTCATTCCTTAATACGTACCTCACAAAGCACAATTCCAAACGAGAAAACATCAACTTTTTCATCGTATTTTAAGCCTTTCATCATTTCAGGTGCCATCCAATATGGATTACCCACGACTGTGTAACGTTGACGTCTTTGTCGACTTTTACTTCGACCAAAAGTGCCAGTATTCGAATTTGTTCCATTACCACCGCTTGTTGTAGAACTACTATATAGAGGTGACGTTATAATTCTTGCCAAACCGAAGTCTGCTACAATCACGCTTTTATCATCACGCACTAAACAATTTAACGAATTCAAATCCCGATGTATTATATTCATGGAATGTAAATAACTCATGCCACAAGCAATGTCTTTTGCAAATGAAACACGTTGTGGCCATGTTAATGGCAGGCCCGAATCGTGTATTAACTCCTTCAAAGAACCACCTGGTATATATTCCGTAACTAAATGTAACTTTTTGTCTTTGTACAAAACGCCAATAAAACGAAGCACATTCTTATGATGCAGTGAACGCAAAACTGCGACTTCTTTTAAAAAATTACGCTGCGCTTCTTCATCGACGCGATATAGTTCCTTAAGTACCATGACTTCCTTCGTAAGGCGATGTGTTACTTTATAGACTTGTCCAAAAAATCCTTTTCCAAGTAGTTCACCTAGTACTAAGTCAGACGCACGAAATATGCGCTGTGGCTTAGGTTCAACACGGAATGACTTGGTGCGCGATAAATCATACATATCCTGCGGTTGAGCATGTTGCTCATCCAACAATTTTGACATACTGGAACAGCGTTCTTTTTCTTTAAATGGTAGATTTGTTGTTGTTGTATTTGTGGTGTGCGGCATTTGATTCACATCATGTGTTATCATATTTAAATTTTTATTTTTGCGCAATTGTCGTGTCTTTGTGCCACTGATATAACCTTCATCTTTACGTTTGAAAAGTCGTTCCTTATCGTTTTTTGTGTTTAGATTGTTTTCGTTACGGCCATACACTTCTATACTTGACGCTGATGTTGCCAATGGCGGTGCTTCAATCGTGGCTTTCTGTATATCGGCCTGGCTGCAGCTACGACAAACTTGTACTGGATCGTGCTCAACGGTTAGTTGTAGTATTTTCTCTGTACTGCGTATCAGTTTATCAATATGTTCGATCGACGTGTCACTGACTGGTGTGCCATTCACTTCTAAAATACGATCGCCAATGTGCAAGTTTGCTAAATTTACATCGATTCTAAAAATAATTTTCATTATTATTTATATCTTTCGTGTTTGCAGATATGAATGAGTTAATGTGATTATGTTTAGAAAGCATTACCTATATGCACCACAACATTGATCGATCACTGATGTTATAAAGGAGAATACGTATTTTCCCACTCTGCCATATATTCTACAAATGAATCTTCAAGGAAGTGGAAAAGTTAAATGAAATTAGTAATGCAGCGGTAACTACGTGTGCTGTTTAATGTGCTAAATTAATTGCGATTTGTGTTAGTTGCGAAAATATTTATTCTGGACATAGGTTCAATAAATAACTTCGAAATTAGTATTATTAATTGATGACTAAATTAAATTCCACAATAAATTCTTTAAACAATTGTTTTTAAAATAAAGATTGTGTCATTATGGTGAGCTTAAATACATTGATAAGTTGATAAGATGCCTTGTCTTGCTTTCTTGACAGCTGAACGATAAAATTTAATAAGATAATAAAAGTTGATAAGAAATAAAAATGCAAGTGCTACACTTTATTTGTATTCTTACAAATGAACTAATTATTAAAATTAAATGTAGTTAAAGTTTAAACGGCTATGTCCAGTGTACAAATATATTTGCACAATTGTTAAACTAAAGCGCATATTTTAGAAATTATTTTTGTGTTTATGGAAATCTTACTCTGAAATTCTCACAGCTGGACAAATATCGCCTGCCCCACCGCTACCATCTAAACGCACGGTAGGCGCAATGAAACCATGTACTGGAGAGCTACCATCTATGAAATGACGCTGTACGCTAACATTATCTACGGATAGCCTTAAGCCCGGTGTGGCATCCTTCGGAATTTCCACTAAACGTATCGAATGCAAAGGTTTAGCATTACCTCCGCCGTCCGTTTCACTTGTGGGGCTAGTTTGTTTTTTGTAACACGTTCCACAATACAATTTAGATCGTTCGACCAAAGCATAGGATTCACCATCGCCAATAAAAGTTGCGCAAGCACTGCAACAGAAACATTCCGGATGAAATTTATGATCACCAGCAACCATAACAGGCCCTGTTATCACGGCACTGCATTGTTGACAAGCTTCACCGAAACGCTGATAATAATCCTCGCGACAAAATAGCAATCCCTCCTTCTCAAAATACCAATTGTGCAAATGTACATCACAAACCGAGCAACGGAAACACTCGCTGTGCCACTCTTGTCCCAAAGCAATAACAAACTCCTCGCGACTCAAGTGCAGAGCATTCAAACAACCCGCACATGACGTGTGCTGACCTTGCAAGTGCGCGGATTGGGGTCGCGTACGCTGTTCGTTTGTTGGCGGCTTGGATACTGTGGGAATGTGCATGAAATCTGCAATTGCAAAATATTAAAAATAATTCAGCGATAAAACTCAGCTCATAAAATTGTGTCATTTTCGAAAACGTTACAGTGTGAGATGTTTTACAATCTATTTCACTCGCTTAACCGTGACCCTGAGACCGCTGCGCTAGAGGATGATTCATTTCTCGTACATTATGTACGACGAGTACGTGATTTTTAATGGCGGCAGTAAACAAGCCATTCTGTCATCGAATTGCAATACCCCCGCGTCATTACTTGAATGTAACGAATGCAACCACTGAATTTATTGCAACATTTCGATTTCTTAATCACAAAGTGCAATTAAACCACTTTCTTACTAAAATAAAAATTTTCCAAACTCCATTTCTCACTCAACCCACGCATTTTACACTTGTTACTTTTCGCACGAAATTTTTGCTTTTCCACTCAAATTATTAAATAATTTCATAAATTTTCATTCTTTATTCACATTTTAAACGTTTTTTGTTTATTTAACGTACCATAATTTAATTTTTTATCCATATTTCGAAGCTACATTATTTTGCTGTATACTCTATGCCCCTTTTTCGTTTTCTTACTGCATCTAAAGAAAAAAAAACGAAGCAAAACAAAAACGTCAACACGAAAAAAAGCAAAAAGCAAAAAAAGCATTGCCAGCATGCATTTATTTTTTATTCGAAAATTATAAAATTTTGGGAGATTTTTTGGGATATTTTGCACTGCACATATTTAACCATTTATCAGCACGTATCGACACATCACTACATTATCGACACAACTTAGAATTTCCCTCATTTAGAACGCAACTTAGGCTAACTCGCACACGTCCTAAATTGAAATTTCCTAGGGATTTGTTGCACTGCACTTATGTAAATATTTATTTATTTATTTATTGCAACTATTTATTATTTTTGGTTAAAAGTTTCCAAATTTATTTATTTACTAGCTGACCTGGCGAACTTCGTCTCACTTACTCCTTTCTAATGATCGAGCAAGTGCAGTGTTAACTCGATCTCTTTCTTGCCTAGTTTTTCTCTACTCACTTGTTTCTGTAGCTCGTTCTTCTCTTCTCCTTTTTGCTTGATTTGTAGTTCGACAAATAGCACTTCGCTTTGGTGGCATAATTGTTGTGTTAAATAAAATGTATTTCCCTCTGATTTTAATAAATTAAATTAAATTAATTATTCTATTTCACTTAATATATTTACTCAAAACTAAACTGAAACACATACAGTACGAATATAAAAACCACACTGACTTCTCACAATCTAACAATATAGGATAGCTAGATTGTTTTAAATCATATTAGAAATTATATTACAGAATACACTTTTACCAAAATATTACTAATTATACCTAATAATTTCCTAAATTTTCATGGTGATTGGATGTATGGTTTTTGAATCCATTGAGTACAGACATACACACAGACAACATTAATTTTTATATACATATATAGATTTAAGATTTATTAAACATCTTACAAAATTTTCACAATGGGTAAATTCTAATAAATACCAACATTTGTTGCCCTACCAACATAATTTACTATATTCCTGAATTTACAATCAATTTACTCAAACTCGTACACAGCTATGATATATAATAGGTCTGTTCTACGAGCTACTCTTAGTAAAACTCAAGTAAAACACAAGTTAAGTACAAACCGAGAGCGTAACACAAATAAAGTGTTAAATTACGCTCTTTATACAGATTTTCATGGAATATGCCGAAAGAGGGCCTAGCTTTATATCTTAATAATCTGCTTAGCTCATATTATAATAAAATCTATACACAAGAATGTTTTTCCGTTGAATCTCTAGATTGAAGTCAGTGTATGTGTTTCAGATCAATTACACACTTTTTGAGATAAATCTATAAATTAGCTAAGTACGATATTTGAAACAGACTACTATATATGGAGATGTAAGTAGAGATGAGAGTTTTGGGAAGGTATAGTTAGAAATACCATCAGTACCTGCAGACTTTGTTTTTATTATATATATATATAAGATTTTGAAGAGATCAAAAGAAATAAGAAGCTAATTGAGATCATCATAATTAATTCTGTGGTATTAGCCCAATGTCGGGGACTACAAAAATGAAAATAATTTTGATATATTTTATCGATATATTTTCTTATGAAGTGTAGAATTTTGTGACGAACTCTTGCACATTTTTTAAATTGTGCTATATTAAAATCGTGGCTAAACTACAAAGACTTATCGAGATAAGTCTGAAAATGTTTAAGTAGTATTGTCTGAACATATTATTATAGTTTAAAAATTGCCAATGTACTTAATAGTTCACAGGATCTCATAGACATAGTCAAAGGTGGCATATAAATAGAATGCCTCTCTACACTTTTATTGGAATCTTTTATAGTCTTCGGTTTTTCTTGAAGAAATATAATGTTAATGTTATAGATAATTCAATATATAGTGTCATATAATGTTGTTTATAATGTATTTAAAATAATTTACAAAAAAAAACTTCAATTACAAAAACGTTTCCCTGAGGCTGCAAATACCCAGCTTTCAGACAACACAGTGGATTCATAATTTACTTATTCCTTATTGTACTATATCTAATCTTCTTTTAATAAAATAATTGCAATTCTCGGCAAAGGCCAATACATAAAAAAAGTGCTGTTATACATAATATTGATGAATTTTTATTGCATTTTATTATAAAACGAGTATAAAAAGATTTGTTTCATGCATAGTATGTTGTAATCTGATTTTTGGTCTACTTATATTAATATATTTATTCAGTCTAATTTTATAATGCCACG